GGAAAACTCGTTGTGTTGGATTCCATCATGTATGGGAAAGTTATCTGGTCTTCTGATGTATTATTTATTGAGTCTTATCTTCCAGAGAGTACAGAGATAAAAAAATATCTTCTTCTTATTTCACTTACTTACTCAACAAGACATTTACATCAGTATATATAGATACAATTCTATTGACATAATTGACCTCAACATTCAGAAACTAATTACACATTCACCCTTGTCTAACTGACTCCAACTATACAATTACTACTAGAGTCTTTACACCCCCTCAAGTTGAGACTTGGGACAGGAAAATGGCCAAGAGGAAGCTTGGATTGCAGAAAACAGAATCTGTGTTTTGAAAGGGATTTGGTGTGAATATCAGCCAATTGATCTTGGCTGCAGACATAAAGCACTTTAATCAAATGCGCCAATACTAACTCCCGAATGTAATGATAATCCACTTCTACATGCTTTGTCCGAGCATGAAACACGGGATTGGAGGCAAGAGAAATGGCGGAAATGTTATCACACCAAAGAGTTGGAACAGTAGACAGAGGAAAGTGGATATCAGAAAAAACTTTGCAAATCCAGGTGATTTCAGCTGCAGTATGTGCTAAAGCACGATATTCAGCTTCGGTGGAGGACCGGGCAACAGTGGGTTGCTTTTTAGCATTCCAACTGATCAGATTGGGACCCAAAAACACACAGAAGCCAGTAGTAGATCGTCTATCAAAAGTACAACCGGCCCAGTCAGCATCAGAATAAGCAGTGAGGGCAAGAGAACCCTTTTTAAACCAAAGACCTTGAGTAAGAGTGCCTTTGAGAAACCGGAGAATGCGTTTAACAGCTTGCAGGTGTTGTTCCCGTGGGGAATGCATGAACTGACAAACTTGGTTTACAGCAAAGGAAAGATCAGGCCTGGTCCAAGTGAGATACTGCAAACCACCCACTAGAGATCTATATTCAGTGGGATTAGAGAGTAAAGGGCCACTGTGATCAAGTTTAGAGGTACCAAGAGGAGTGACACAAGGCTTGGCACCTGCCATATTTTTGCCTTGTGAAGAAGATCAAGAGAGTATTTACTTTGATGATGCATGAAGAGGCCTTCAGAATTGCGCTGCACCCTCCAAACCCAAAAAATAATGAAGAGGGCCCATATCCTTAACAGGAAATGCTTGGCTAAGTTTGTGAATGAAGTGTTGGCAGAGAATGGTATTTGGGCCGATGACAAGAATGTCATCGACATAGACCAAAACAAGAACAGGAGCTGAAGCTTGAAGAACAAATAGAGAAGCATCAGAGGAGGACTGCTTAAACCCAAGAGTGCACAGGACTTGGAACAGTTTATCAAACCAAGCCCTGGGGGCTTGTTTTAAACCATACAAAGATTTCTTGAGGTGGCAGACATGAGTAGGAAGATTGGAATCAATGAAACCAGGTGGCTGAGTCATAAAAACAGCTTCCTTGAGATCTCCATGTAAAAAGGCATTGCTAATGTCCAATTGATGGAGAAACCAGTCATGTTGAACAGCCAAGGTTAATAAAATACGAATGGTGACTGGCTTGGCTACTGGACTGAAAGTATCTTGATAGTCAACACCCTCTTTTTGATGAAATCCTTTGGCTACTAACCGAGCCTTATACCTGTCCACCGTACCATCAGGTTTCCTCTTAATTCGGAACACCCATTTACAGCCAACAATGTTCTGAGACGGAGAGTGGGGTACCAAATGCCAAGTACCAGTGAGTTGAAGAGCATTAAACTCGTCCTGCATAGCTTGTCTCCAGTGGGCATACTTGGAGGCTTGTAAGTATATGGAAGGAACAAAATCAACATCAGGTAAAGGATGTTTGGTGGCAGAATATGCTTTTGGTTTAAAGATACCAGCCTTTGAACGAGTAAGCATAGGATGGGTATTAGGAGCTGTAGAATGGGATACAGGAGGAGCTGCAGAAGGTGAGACAGAATTGGAGGATGATGGGGAAGAAGAAACATGCTCAGTAGAAGGGACAGTGGATTGAACTGGAGAAGGTCGCTGGGGAATAGAGAAGTGTAAATCAAAAGGGGAATGTGGAGAGGGAGATCCCGGAGAAACCACCACAGATGAAGAAGAAAGAAATGGAAACCTGTTTTCATTGAATTGAACATGGCGGGAGATATAGATTCTCTGAGTAGTAGGATCAAGACATCTATAGCCCTTGTGCTGCAAACTATAGCCCAAAAATACACATTATGTACTCTTCCCATCTAACTTGGAGTGAACATATGGCTTTAACCAGGGATAACATGAGCAACCAAAAACCTTCAACTTGGAATAATCAGGGACAGAGTGAAATAAAAGTTCCCATGGAGACTGATGCAAGCTGGAAATAGGCAGGCGATTGATCAGGTAGACTGCAGTAGAGAAGGATTCAACCCAATACAAATGAGGAACTTTCGAGGCAACTAATAGAGTCCGTGTTGTCTCAACTAAATGGCGGTGCTTCCGTTCAACACAGCCATTCTGTTCAGGTGTGTGAGGACAGCTGAGCTGATGAGATATACCATGATCTTGAAGAAAAGATTTAAACTTGTTACTAGTAAATTCACCCCTGAATCGGACCTCAAACATTTGATTTTATTATTACCAACAGAATTCTCAACATAGGTCTTGAATACAACAAAAGTAGAATATACATCAGATTTGGCCTTTAAAGGAAAGAACCAAGAGTACTTGCTGTAATCATCCACTATTACAAGATAGTATTGGTAACCACATGCAGAAATGACAGGAGCAGGACCCCAAACATCACAATGTAACAAACTTAAACTAGTAGTAGAAATAGAACTAGAGGGATGAAACGGGAGCTTGTGATTCTTAGCAACTGCACAGTCCGAGCAGAAGAAATCAACAGAGTGTTTTCCCTGCAGTGCAAGCTTATTTGCAGATAGAACGCGCCTGAAGATGGCAGAAGAAGAATGCCCCAAGCGACTGTGCCAAATATTCACAGGGGCTTTAGTACCGACTAAAGCATGAGGGGATGAACAAGATGAAGAGAAAGAAACAGGGATACCTTGAAAAGTATAGAAACCATTGTTAACCGTGCCCTGCAAAAGCATCTTCCCCGTAGAACAATCCTTAACAACAGAACCATTGGAATGCAAAGTCAAAGAGCAGGAATTATCCTTAAGAAATTGATATGCAGAGAGTAAATTGTGCTTCATTTGCGGAACATGTAACACATTGTTCAACTTAAAAGAGGCATGAGCAGTATTTAACAATGTACTGCCAGTATGACGAATGGACAAACCTTTTCCATCGCCGATATACACCTTATCTTCACCAGTGTAGGGAGTAGGAGAAGAGATATTGGAGATGTCATGGGTGATATGAGATGTAGCACCAGAATCTAAAATCCATGAAGGAGACGGTTTGGAAGCATAATGAGTATACATGGCAGCAAGTTTAGTAGGGGGTACTCTACCAAAGATATCGGGATTCATTCTATCAAAGCAATCAATAGCTTCATGACTGGAGGATCCACAAATTTGACAATTGTTACGAACTCTAGGAGTACTAGAAGAACGAAAACCAGGATTGTTGGACCTTTGGAAACCAGAATTAGAGTGAGAGCCCCTATTATTGTTGCCCTGATAGTTTCTATTGCCTCTGTTGTTGGGAAAGCGATTATTGTGCCGTCCACGATTAGAGTTGTAGCGAGAAGAATTCTGCATAGGGTGATGTTGAGCGGCATAAGCTTGAGAAGAATGTGGTGTAGGAAGGAGAGGTGGTTGATTCTGAGCAGCATAAGCATGAACCGGTTCAGCCGCAACTAATTTCTTACGACGAGCCATTGACAATTCTTTAGTAAGAAGAAGACCATGCAGTTCATCCAAAGTAGTAGATGAGAGGCAAAGAGTAATAGAATCAACAAATGAGTCAAATTCCTCTGGTAAACCATGCAATGTAGCAGCAATCAAGTCACGATCGGACACAGAGGCACCAGCAGCTGTTAAAGAATCAGAAATTGCTTTAATTTGCTGGAGATACTCAGAGATCGATTGAGAGCCTTTCTGAAGAGATTGAAGACGAGAGCGAAGCTGATGAATATGAGCATCGGAGATGCCACCAAACCTCTGTTCCAATTTGAGCCATAAATCACGAGAAAAAGAAACTCCAACTGTGAAAGGAATAATCTCCTCCGAGAGTGTAGAGTTCAACCAAATCAAGAGATTTTGATCTTTTTTGTACCACTGTTCAAACGCAGGATTGACAGAGCGATCAGACAAGAGAGGAGAGGGACAAGGTTCAGAACCATCAATAACACCGAGAAGCTTGTAGCGACGAAGAATTGGGGCAAAGAGCGCTCGCCATGGAAGATAATTCGAACTCTTAAGCTTGATCGGAACCATACTGCCAATGTTCTGAATCGTGAGAGAGGTATAGCTTTGCACCAAATTAGGGTTTGGAGAAGAGGAATTTGGGAGAGAAGATGACGAATCAGACGCCATGGTTGAAGATACAGGTAAGATTCAACCAAATAACCACACTAATGACAGAAAAGAAGCACCAGAGATCGGATCGAACCAGAGACCGTAGCAGAGAAGCCGTGAGATCAGAGATCGGAACGGACCAGAGATCGGAGCGGAGAAGCCATGAGATCAGATCTAAGCAGAAAATCCGTGAGACTGTGAGATCAGATCGAACCAGAGAGCAGATCGAAGATGCCGAGAGGATCGAAGAGTCACCAAGCAGGAAGACGATGACGAGAGGGATCGAAGATTCATCAAGGCCGTGAGGCGGTGGCGATTGATACCATATTGAGTCTTATCTTCCAGAGAGTACAGAGATAAAAAAATATCTTCTTCTTATTTCACTTACTTACTCAACAAGACATTTACATCAGTATATATAGACAATTCTATTGACATAATTGACCTCAACATTCAGAAACTAATTACACATTCACCCTTGTCTAACTGACTCCAACTATACAATTACTACTAGAGTCTTTATTATTATCTGCTTCTGCAGTGAATGCCACGAAAGCAGTGTTAATGAATACTGGTGACCTTCAAGTGATGTCTGGAGAAGACATTTTGTGGCGGAGCTTTGATCATCCTTCCGACACATTGTTGCCCGGCCAGAGGCTTAGCCGGAACAAAATAACAGGCCAACAAGTGCGTCTGACATCGTGGGCAACACTAGCTGATCCAAAACCTGGAATATTTAGCGTAGGCATCGATCCAAAAGTTCCCAGGCAGCTAATTACCTGGAAGGGAAATGCTACATATTGGAAAAGTTCTGTTTACTTCAGTAAGGATGTAAACACATACTTTAGAAATCAAAGTGGGGGCTTTTTTTACATTGCTTACAGTTTTGATGCTGATGGTATTTATTTTACTTTTGGTGCGTCGGATAACTCCATAAAACTGAGGGCCGTTTTGAGTCCATCAGGCAAGCTTAATCTGCTGCTCTGGATTGATGAAAATGAGACATGGATTGAAGAGTGGGCAGAGCCTACCAATAAATGTGACTTTTATGCTCGATGCGGTCCATATGGTGCCTGTGATAAAACCGGTGATCCATTCTCGTCACAATGCAAGTGTTTGAAGGGTTTCAGGACCCAATTTAAGAAACAATGGGCTATGGAGGACTGGCCCGGTGGTTGTGTTCGGGAAAAGGCATTGGTATGTGATAAAGGCGAAGTGTTTTCAATGTTTGAGAATATGAAACCAGATGATGCTATAATTTTTGGAAATAGGAATATGAGTGAATGTGAATCTGAATGCCTTCAGAACTGCTCTTGCACAGCTTATGCCTATTCAAAGGTGATAGAAAAAGGTGGTCTAGGATGCTTGACATGGTCTGGTAACTTGACGGATCTTGTCGAGAATCATCGTTTTGGGCAAACCATGTATATTCGTGTTCACCGCTCTGATCAAGGTATGTTTGTTTGGTTTCTTTTTCTATTTTCTGTGTATGTATTTGGCGTGCTAGGATAGCACCAAACCTTTATGGGAACCAACTCAAGCTAACCCACATGAAATTTATCTTATGAAATGCAAGAACAAAAATATAAAAGAACACCAAGATTTTAATGAGGTTCCTCAACAGTCAGTGTAACTGGGGTACGTCCTCGGAGCAGTAGGAACTCACCCAATAATCCACTATCAACCAAATGGGAGTTGACACGGCCCGACCCTGATATTCCCCGAATACCAGAACCGACACGTGCTGGCCGACACCCGGGGGTGATGAAAACCATTAATTGATACAAAAGCTAAGAATAAGAAATAAATAAGGGTTAGAAATTTGAAATACAATGAACTAACAATTTAGGAACGTATTCAGAGCATACAACTAAACCTAATCACTAAAAAGATTTAGATAAAATTTAATGAATAAAGAAGTGGGTCCTACATCGAGAGGATCCGAAGATGCTGCTGCGGAAGTGCCTTCACGCCAGGATTAGGTGCCTTGATTCTAAGTCCTGAATGGGGACGCAAAACAAAGGTGAGTGGACTAAGTTTATATATATAATAATGATAAAACAGTTATCAATGTACTAACCCCCAAAGTTTACATAATGAAAACTACAGCATAATAAGTGATGGATTTAATAAAAATCCTAGCATGCCAAAATATCTCAAAAGTCACATATAGCGGAATATCATCGCAGAAATCAAACAATAAACGTCTCATAAATCGTCTCGTAAACGTGGTGTGTGCTGCTAGTAAGATCACCGAATAAAATATAACTCCTGAAAATGCTATAACTCTGCGCCCGTGGCCAGAGATTACCAACTCCCGGCCCAATGCTCTTCATTGTCCCTCAGCCCGTAGCTAGGGATTATTTCTCCCTCCCGGCCTAAATGCCAACACCAAATCCTCACCCTAGACGACATAGTGTCTACTAGGTACGCACAAATATTTACGCCTCTCATAAATAACCACTTCATAGTATAAAGTCATCCATCGTCTATACTATAAAGAAGGGTTTCTAAAACATGTTCTAGCATCCTATCGTCATCCATCGGATAGTCTACCAGTTCATGGTTTTTATAGAAAATACGATATATAGAAATATAGCTCAGAATAGGCTAACAATTTATTTCTTCACCAAAACACGAGACGAAATTAATAAATTCAGTAAACAGGGTTGATATAAATCAATTCAAAAAATTCGTTGGCATGCTAATCATTTATGCAATTACTATAAAATCATGCAATTTTAGAAGGGGTCCACTCACAGTATTTAATTGCCAAAAGCTGCGCCACTAGTGAAGATGGAAACGTCACAATAATTGCCCCTAAGCACATAAATAGCATATTTAGTCAAACTCTACTTAAACGACTGAATTTGGGAAAACGGACATTGGAAATGGGTTCAGAACGTCGAAATTAGCTTAAGAGGGATTTTGAGCAAAAACCCGAAAAGTCAACCTTAAAGGTCAACGTTGACCGGTGGTCAACGGTCAAATTAGGTCTAACGGGTTTTAGGCTTGAAATCCGGATTAGGGTTTAGGTTAAATAGGATTAGGATATATTGGGTTTTTGGTTTTCTTTGGTTTTTGGGTTAAAAGGGTTTAGGGTGAAGAAATGGGGTTTGGACCTAAGCCCAAACACACATATACACCACAAACACACACACACACACACACACACACACACACACACACACACACACACACACACACACACACACACGGCATGCATGTGCATGCATAAACACATACACACACACACCCATGACACCAAGGCCCTAAGGCCTTACAAAAACTAACAGGGCTTTAAGCCCTTTGAATTAAACCGGCCCAAGGCCATTTTAAAAACTATAACTAAAAATAAAAATTAAATGGGTTAGGGTACTGGGCTAAGGCAAAACGAGCTTAAGGCCCGAGGGAAAGGGGAAAGGCCAAATGGCCTGGTGCGGAGGAAGAAGAAGGCCAGAGCTGCTACAGCTTTGGTCACCTGAAAATATGAGCTTTAAGCTCTGATCTAAGTATGAACATGAAGAACGAGGAGAGAGGAAGAGATTGCTACCTTCCAGAAACCGTAACTCGGTCGGAGGTGACCGGAAAAAGCTTCAAAAGTCCACGATTCGCTGGAAAACGGGTGTGCTCACCCACAACGATTCCGAAGCAAAACCTAAGTAAAAATGGAAGGTTCAAGCTTCTAAATCATAACCAAGCATTATGCTAGGTACGAGAATGAGGGATTCGAGACTTACCCCAACGGAAAAGAAGAAAAGGTTCGCCGGAGTTTTGCTCCGTGTCGTCGATCTCGCGGGCAGGGGGATCCTGGGCTTGCTACAAGCCTCTCCTGTGGGTGACATTGTCCTAGTGAGTCCAGGGAGAAAGAGAGATGCGAGAGGTTGAGGGAGAGGGATACAGGAGAGTTGAGAGAGCTACGGGAGGGAGAGACGAAGAAGAAGAAGAAAGAGATCAGAAAACATAAAAATAAAACAAGGTGGGCCCCACGGGCTCACCAATTAAGGACTAAACTAATTTTAAAATATAAAAGGGGTTGGGGTGTTTCAATCTACCACCCTTAAAAAAAATTTTGTCCTCAAAATTTAAAATAACATACTACACTGAAAAACTTGATAAATACGAAAAAGGATACACATATATATACGTAACGAAGAAATCAAATCAGAGTGGTTGTACAAAAGGAAAAATGCCATCCCGTCGCAATCGGGTTGCAATGATGCCATCTTCCGTGCCTCTAGGCTCAAACTTTCTTTCCCCATCAGTGTAAAAGAACACATACTTTAATAAAATATAAAGTCGAAAACACAAAATAATTTAAGGCCAGATAACGTCAAAATATATAAGTAATAACATATAGGCCAAAAACTCGAACCAACTTAAAAATGAAAACAGAAATACTTTTCCAAAAACATTTGTAATGCCAAAACAATTAACTAGAGTAAATGAAGTTAAAATACTTATACTGAAAATCAAAACTGAAGAATGAGAGTGGGTCTTGCCCAAGAATTCGAAATATCACATATTCCGAGAATAAATGTGTCTTTGGGTCGAGTCCCAAGAATAACAATTCCGAATTTGCGTTAGTTGCTGTAGACGAATCTTCCTGCCCACTTGCTTAATGAACCCAAAAAATAAGCTATCGATATCATAGTCTGCAGCCCGCAATATCAACCTCACATTTGTTGTCTCGATAAGCAAGTAGTAATTCCCTGAGGATGCACAATTTTACACGTCGTAAATTCGATCCTCTGAATACAAGCTCGCACAACTCCTCTAACAACCAATGTTACCTGTAGAAACTCTAGTACCATGTCGCAACAGTGCCATACCCAAACCAAATAAAACAGAAACTGCCGTCGTAAAACTCTATCCTGCACCAATCATCATATTCTCCTCAGTTCTTCCAAATGTGACCAACTACTTCAAAATTTTGCCAACAAGGAACCCATTAGAAAACGGTACCTTGGGATTCAAGAGAAGTGGCTACCATGTTAGTAGTAGACACAAAAGCTCGAACCAAGCAAGTAGAAAACGAGAAGTCATCTTCCTCAACACGCAGTATCTCTTGGGAACTATTGTAGTGCTCAATCCACCTCTCCATTTTTGCTTAGTTGCATATTTCAAGTCAAACAAGATCAAAGTTGGTGGAAAGAAGAACGACTCGCAAATGGTCAACCTAACAACAAAAGATAGTACACACATTTTGAGAGAAGTACAAAGATTATCCAATTCTCGCTTCGACCGTCCTGTAGTGCCATTCCAGAATACACCAAACAGATCTGCTAGAAATGTTTTAACAACCACGTACTCACAACAATAAGGTTCGGAAGTGAAGCAGTGGAAATATGCGTTGAGACGAACACATATCGTCGAAAAATAACCGATGTGATGCCCATGAATTCTAGTAAGATGGTGATACAATATGATGACCTTCTACACCAAAATCTTCACCAGTCTCTTACCAAAGGACAACTCAAACTTCATCCCCACGATGAACTCTTTATGATAAGTCTGGTAAGCTTGTGAAAAGATTATGCTCCCAACATTCATGTCTAAATCGATAAGAATTGGGCGCACACTTCCGTCGAATCCATCGATCGTGAATTCCTCACTAATTGAGCGAGAAACCATGTCGGAAAGGCTGAAACAATACTCAAGAATTTAAGGGTCAAAATAATTCCATAAAAAGATAGATTACAAGAAATCAGGATTTGAACCAGAAACCACGCCAAGAACAAACTCTTATTGTTCCGGCATGATTCAGTTTCATATAGAGAGACGAATAAGCAAAGGAAGGTGAAGATGCAGAAATAGAAGTAAATGTTTATGATTATTTTGCAAATCATCACAGTATGGTTAACTGGTTTTCTTAGCCAAAAGGAAGGAGGACTAAGCTCAAGAATAGTTAAGAATTGTCAATAAGATTTGACGAGGCCAAAGACATTTCGAAATTCACAATACTTTGTGAGAGCTGTTTCAAAGTTCAGCATTTAAACACAGAACCTTGGAATCAACAGAATGACAAAGAAGAAAGATACGAAACAGCCTGCGTATGCGTGCAGTGGCACGATTGGCTACCTTAAAGTGATGCCCTTGAGCAAACCAAAGCTCAATGAGTCCAGAGAAGTTCAGAGTAAAGCTCGATCTTCGTACAATGATGAATATGATAGAGTCTCAAGCCATTACACTAAAAATTACAAGCCGAACAGGTAGGCTGCAAGCAAGGGACTAAGTTCACCTTCACCGAAAAGTACGCGGACGAGGAACTAGGATTTTCCGCCAAGTACCAGACCCAGGTGAAGTTCAAGGAATTTGTTTATCCAAACAAGATTGGATATTCATCATCCAAGTCCAACTATAGCAACAACCAGAATTGCAACTCAATTTGGAATTTGATGAGAATAACGTCTGCTACTGAGGAGTTTCCAAAGATTTCGATGTAGAGCCGAC